CATAGACAGAGATAGAAGATGCTTAACGAGAGTGAAAGAAAGAGAGATGCTGTATACTATGTGTGTGTTTATGTGTATACGAAGAGAGGGAAAGAGAAGATTTGTGCGTGCTCTCCGTAAAAGAGGGTGTCGTCTCTCTCTTCAGTTTCAAAGTAGACACGTTCCGCGACGCCGGTTTTTCAAATCATAGTGCTCTTTTATTTCCCCCTCCCCGCGTTGAAAGCCGAACATATATCGCATACCATAAATTACGGTGTTTTTCGAAATATTTATACATTTATATATATATATATATATATATATATATATATATATATATGTATATACAGATATAGATATCTCCCTCTCTTTCTTTCTTGTTTTGATTCAAATTTCTTTTTGAGTATCCAATATGATTTCTAATACTTTTTGGATGCTTCTGACAGTATTTCTTACTATTTTCGCAAATTCTGGTGAGTTTGTATAATCTTTCCATTTTCTTTTTTGTTTACTTTTTTTCTTTCCTCCCTTTATTTTATTGTATTTTATTTTATTTTATTTTGTTTTATTTATTTGAAAATCATTTTGCAAATTTTTAGCGATATTAGAAAATATATTTTATTAATGATTTTGTTACAGTAAAATTACTTAATTCGATTGTTTTTTCTTATATATATTAAGAAATGTAATGATACGACATAAGAGGAATGTGTTTATTGAATAATATTACTGTAATTAGATGTCAAAATTTGAAGAGGTAAAAAATGATCGCACCCACGTATCCTTCTAAATAGGCGCTCTTTTTTCTACCTTGTTGACTCATTTCTCTTAAGTAACTTCATTTAAGTAATGAAATATGTTATTAGCAAAACCAATAATTCTTTGCGACTCCTATTTAATTTCACACACCTTTTACGGCTTCGTCGTAAATTTATTCCATCTTTTTTTCTTTTTTCTGTTTTTTTTAAACGACTTATTATATAATTTATTATGACGAATGAATCATCTTGTTGACATTTACTTCTATAGAAATTTATTATTCCGAGTTTTAAAAATTAGTCTCGAAAGAATAGAATTTATGGTGTATTTGTCTTTGTTTTTTTACTTTTTAACTTAGGCTCAGCGTTAAAGTGTTGGGAGTGTTCATCTCACATGAACGCCATGTGCGGTGATCCCATGAATACTACCGAACATCAAGTTATGTTTCATGTGAAAGAGTGTGGAAGAGGTCCTTATGCTAGTTCTAGACCAATTTGTCGTAAAATGGTCAAAAGAGGTATGTTTCGTATTTTACAAATTATAATCATAAAAGTATAATAATAACTTGTATAAAATTTTAAAAATAAAAAATCTCTATAATAAAATAAGAAAAGAAAATATAATTAAATCAAGAAAGATAATAATGTATATACTAATCTAAGCGAATAGTATATACATATAATAATTATAATAAAAATAATAATAATAATAATCCAATTAATATATATATGTATAAAATAATATATATGTATAAAATAATTAATATAAAAAAAATGGATACAACAATCTAAATAAAATTAAAAAACTTTCTCATCGTTATGATAATGCGTAAATAAATTTTTACCGATTTTTACAGTGTACAAAAAAAAATAAAAAATTTTACTTTCCTATAAAAACATTTTCAAACGATTCTCGATGAACAACTGTAATTCTCAGATGATGAGTACAAAAATAAAATTGTACATTACTCATTAATTTGATGATACGTCTCAATAAACACATTAGCTTCTAAATTCTGTAACTCTTATCGCAAAAATGCATCGAATGATTCAATGGAGAACGCACCTATAATTCTTAATGAGACACGTTTATTTTTGTAACTAGTGATGACATTCTTATGTATGGCAATTGAACTAATTAGGCACGCATTAAAATCAAGATCATTCAAATTTTGCAAAACGATCCATTTATTCATCTCGTGAATTAAAAAAAAAAGAAAAAAGAAATTGTTTATGCATTCATGAATTGAAGAATTATGAAAATTCTTAAAAAAAAAAATTTTTTTTTTATCACTGACAAATAACTGCAAGATTATTTATTTTTCTCATGAAAAAATGTTAATAATGCTCGATTTAATGTACGATCATTTGTGGCATATGATTTTGATGGAACAGATTACCTGTTTCTCTACTTGTAATTAAACCTGTTTTGACGAAGCACATTACCGACATGAATCAGATGGGAATCATATGTTACGTATGCTCTTCTATTGTTTCACGAAATAGTATAGAAGTGAATTTTCCGTCTATCGGAACGACCTCGACTTATCCCCTCTTCCATCAATGATCAACACATTATTTCGAAATTTAGTACACTGGTATTCGATATGATGAGTACTATGACTAATTTGAATCAAAACTACTTATACGATTTTTATTTATCAACAAACAAACCATTCATACGAAAGATAATATATGTTCTTTTATTTTTTTTATCTTTTTTTAGTTTTTATCATTTTCGTATGATATCAAGATGTGTTTTATCATTTTTAATTTCATATAATCAAGAAAAAAATGTGGTCGAAAATTCGTACGAGATAGATAAACGTGTGAAAGATGAGAGGAAAAAAAGAGAAAAAAGAAAAAATAAAATATGTATAAATGATTCGTTTGCAATATTTGTTGTCATCCTTTTTTATCGTGCTGATAGAAATATTAATGAGTGCGTCACTTGCATTTTATATCGAGCTGGATTGCGCAATGATATAATACGTTGTTGACTGAAACATCGCGTGTCTTAACTCTACGGCGACGAAAGGAACATAGTAAACGCAGGATATTATTCACGCAACTAGTTATACAGACTTCCGTCAGCATTTTACCTACGACGAATCATGCCATGCAACTGCGTCTATCTCTGAGCAAGATCCCTTGTCATTCCGTACAGTTGAATCATCTCCTGATCTCGATTATCACGAAATCAACAACCAATTTATTGATAATCTTAAAAATTATACCATTTTATTTTTCTTTCTACGTTCTTAATTTTGTTTACATATCGGTGACGAATAATGTAATTGTTATTATTATTAATTTAACGTATGTATATATTGATATATTATAATTATATAATATATGTATATATTAATATATTATAAATATAATTATAAAATTATATATATAAATATATATACCATATGTATATAATTTATTATTATTTAATTTACTCATTATCAAGAATAAATTTATTTAAATATAGAGCTAATAAATCGAGTACCGAAATAGGACTTAAGAGTAATAAAAATAAAAAAAAAACGTCAAGATTTGAAACTCGAAAATTGTTAAAAAATTATTGATTATTTTCAGATGGCGGTGATCATGTCGTGATACGTTCTTGTGCGATACCAAATCACGATGAAACAGATATAACCGATGGTCCTTGCAGTCCGCTTATGACAAATGGTCGAGACATGGTCGAATCTTGTCATATCTGTAGTACCGATCTATGCAATTCGGCAAGTGACCTGTCAACGATGCAATTATTATACATCGCTGGATTTATTCTGATCGGTTATCTTTTCTTCGAATCGAACTATAATCGTATTATATAATTATTAAAAATAACAAAATAACAGCTCTTTCCGGAAAATAGAAAATGGTTGTAAATGGTGTTGAAATATACAATATTTAAACCATTTAATGAATTATTCGTTCACTAAACAAATGTTTATATAATATTTTGCTAATTCTCTCTATTTTAATTTTTTTTCTGTTTTATATATATATATAATAAATAAGAAAAATTACGATTTATGAAAGATTACTAAAAAATTTATAAAGATAATAAGAAACAAAGAAAATTATTTTTAATTGATTCTATTATTATAAATGACAATTATCGATCTGCTAAAAAAGTATGCTGTAAATGGATTTCGTAAGAATTTTTGGAACGTGCAGTCTTACGGAATAAACTCGATAATTTTATCTAGTTAGTTGAAACTCGTTAGTGCATAATAAATTAACATATTACGTTACCGTACGATCGTATAACGCGTCAAGTACTCTTATTAACTTAGAATTTTACCTGAAATTAGCTTTTTCCGTGAATTTCTTCTTTCTTTTTTCTTTTCATTTTTTTATTTTTTCTGAAAAGAAACATATATGTACAATACATACGTATATATATATGAAAAATATCTCACCTTGTTAAATATATTTTTTCCATATCTTTATCGAGGAATCTAAATACCTCGAATTTATTTTTCCTTTTTTTTGATTTTTAATTAATAGCTTTCTTTTCTTATTAATAAATTAATTCGATTTCTTTTTAATTCCTTTTCTACATATATATATATATATATATATATATATATATATATATATTTCTCTTTAAACTTTGTCTTTGTCTTGCTCTTATCCTTTTCAAGTTTTAATCAAAAAAAAAAAAAAAGAAAAAAAATTGAAAGAAAAGAAAAAAAAAATAAGAGTAAGACGAATAAGTAAACGTAGCTTATCAGGTATCCGTCCAGTGCTTAGAAACGATCAGAGATTTTTATTAGACTAGGTCTCTTCGTTATCTCCATATAAGACCCTTCAAACAGCTTCTAGATATATAAATTATTAGATTAGACATATTCTAGTTTCCTTTTTTTTCTTTCTTTCTTTTTTTTTTCTTCTCTATAGTTTTTCTTTTATTCTCTAAATGAAAATTTTCACTTGAATCTTATTAATCTTATAAAAAAGTTAAAGAAATCTTTGAAAATATACGCGTTAAGTTAAGAGATTAATTATTGTAAAATAGTTTGTACATAATTTGAAAATATAATAACTGATGGAAAATTATAAACATTTTGCTTTTCTATTCCTTACGAAATAAAGAAAAATCCTTCTTATGTCTCATTGTTATCTCTGTTATTGTTATTGTGATTTTTAATATTAAAAATGAAAAATAAAAATATATTAATATAATTGTAAATTAGGATTCAATTGTAATTTAGGATTCTAAAAGAAAAAGAATCGACACGACAAATTTTCGAACGACTACAAATCAAATTATTAATTATCTATCTGTGTATGAAATTGTAGAAAAAAAAGAAATAGGAAATAGAGGGAGAACAAAAAATCCAGGATGTAACAGGAAAGATGTCGTGAACTTAGCCTCTTTTATAACAGCATCATTATTTTTTTCTTTTTTTCTTTTTTTGCAAATATTCTATTGAAGAAATCAAAAGATGACTGATCGTTTACAGGAATAAAAGAAAATTAAGTAAGAAAAAGAAAAAGGAAAGAACGAGAATAAAATTCTCTTCGGTGTTTTGAAATAATTAATTTCGAGAATTTGACGATGGAAACTTGTTGTTCGATGGATCGCATCTGCATACACAGCAAGAAGGAAACAGGAACCAATCCATGAATATGCCCTTGCAATCATTGTCTGGATCGTAAGCAAGCAACCTATGCCATTTGTACTTTTGTTCGCATCCACAATCGCCCATGCATCGATTCGTTTGCGTCTTTCTAAAATATTCAATAAATTTTCCTTTTTTTTATATCATTCACCATTAGATTTTAATTAAAAAATGGATGGAACATTAGAAATTAATTTTTTCTTCCTTTTTCTTTTTTTTTCAAAAAATTTTCTTATAAATCTCTTAGAATATCTTTTAGAATATCTTTTAATCTCACAATAACGTTATTAACTTCTTGTTTGTTAACAAACTGTTCTTAAAATTTATAAAATTTCCTAATGTTTTATCCGATCTTTTATTATTTCATCGTAATCGAATAACATTTTGGAACTTTAAATATCGATCCAACCATTTTCTTCGAATATCGACTTATACATTATGTAGTATGTTATGTAATACATGTACTTACGAACAAACTTCTTGGTGAATTGCTTGTTCGAAATGTTGAGTGTTCACGATTGCTCGTATTTTTCCTGCACTATTGCTTGCCCAATACGGCGTCACAATTTCTACTTTTGATTCACACGCATCGATTCTAAAAACATTTTTATTGTTTTCTATTCATATTTCGTAAAAAAAAAAAAAAAAAAAAAATAAAATGAATCCACAAACTCTATCTTTCTCTATTTTTATATTCCACAAAAAATATCTACGAGATTATTTTTACTTTTTCGTTTGGAAAATAATTTTTTTTTTTAATTTTTGAAAAATTTCTGAACAAGATCGCAGTTTATTTACTTTTATTTTTTTTTTCTTTTATTTTTCGTTTAGAAAAAAGAAAAAAGAAAATATACCTTCCACTGTCGTTGTTACGATTTTTTCCGAAAGATTGTCTCGGATCTCTTTTCTTGGTATCACTACCAAAAAACGAATCACCATCAGCTTCGATCTCTGGTTGGAAATCATCTTCCTCCTTCCGAAGATTCGGTCCACCGTCGGGCAAATCTTGTTTCGACGATGATTCTCTTTTTTTTCTTCTCCTACGAGTTCGATGACTTGGATTCATCTCGAAATCACCGTACATTCTCTTCATCAACGCTTTGTTTTCATCTATAAAACGTTCTATCCGTTCACTAAAAAAAAAATTTTTTTTTTCCAATTTTTTCCTATCTTTTTTCATTTTGTTTCGATGAAAAAATTAAATTAAACCATTAATAATTAATAAACATTAAATTATATTTACATCGGATATGTATTCCCGGCAGTCGGACAGAACAATTGATGATATCTTTTGATACATGGTGCACCTCTGACCAAATCACCTCTTAATTCGACTCCTAATGCAACCGAAAGTGCAGTCCAAAGAATCTACATAAAATAAAAAAAATAAAAATAAAAAAAGAATAAAAAATAAATGAATAATAAGTATCAATTGTAGATCGTACAATCTTATCGAATAAAATGTACTTAAAAAAGAAATGGGGAAAGAGAATTCGTGTTTAAAGTTCTAAAGAAAGGGTCAAGGATTTTTGCTGGAAAGGTTAACAGAGAATCGAAAGGAAAAATGATTTTACTGTGAGATAAGGAATCTAAAAAGGTCGATCTCTCTCTCTCTCTCTCTCTCTCTCTCTCTCTCTTTCTCTCTCTCTCTCTCTTTCTCTCTCTCTCTCTCTTTCTCTCTCTCTCTCTCTTTCTTTCTCTCTCTCTCTCTCTCTCTCTCTCTCTCTCTTTCTCTCTCTCTCTCTCTTTCTTTCTCTCTCTCTCTCTCTCTCTCTCTCTCTCTCTCCTCTGTTTAAGGGTTTACATTGTCCTTGAATGTTACAAACGATCTTATCGATTTGAATTCGATACAATTTCATTCAGTTTTTTTTTTGTAATGTTTTCCAATTAACCGGTCCTTTCAATTGAAAATACAATTAATAAGAATAAAATAATAATTTAAAGAATAAATTAATAATTTTTAAATATGCATAAGATCCTTGCATTATGTTAATTTCATTTAAGTTTTGTCGATCATATAAATGTTATTTCCGAAAGTATGCAAAAAGAAAAAAAAAACGAAAACAAATTCTGGTTTATTTGAAAATTTATAAGATCATGTTAATCCTTACATGAGATTTTTAAGATTAAAGCAAGGCGATAAAGAAGATATCGAACGACTAGACCAGGATTCAAGTTATACCACATGACAGTCTTGACCATATACGAAATGAAAAGGATAATAGTCAGCTCGTACATATTTTCTTTCTGTGACTTTATATCTAAATGTATGTATATATGTATGTATGTATGTATATATATGCATATATATACTTACATACAAATATGTATATACGTATATACTCATGAATATTAATTCAAGGTTTCCTACACAGAGAGAAGGAACGCATAAAAAATAAAGCTTCTTTCGATCAACGATAAGTCGAAGAATATTTCGAGATTTTACGGGTTCAAAGAATTCTTCAATTTTTTTCTTCTTTTCCTTTATTCTTTTTCTTTTTTTTCATTGAAAAATATTTCAAGGTTATTGATTCGATTTTCTTCCATGTATCATCGAGTAAGTATATAAGTATTATATATTACACATACACATATATACAGAACATATAAACACTCTAACAAGCTAATTCATGCACACTCACATTGATACATACGTGTAAATTTATGAATAGCTGGATATTCGTATACACATTCAGATATAGATACATTCATGTATAGTTCGGATATTCATGCATACATATAGACGCATATTTTTATGTATAGTTAGATATCAATGACATGCATGACCCAAGATAATGTTTGAGACACCCACGGGATATATAAAGGCAATAACTTAACTCAAGGTACCTATATTTATATATCTTTATCCTGCAAATTTTAGGCTCGGCACGATAACGTGACGACGAACGTGTCGTAAGAACATATCTGCGAAAAGTGTGATAAGAAATGTATAACTCCGCGTTGCTTATCGATCGATTGCAAGGACGGTCACGAGAGAAAAAACCTTTTAACGAGATATTAATGCAAATCCATTTGGATTTCTTCTTTCCTTCTTATATTTATTACCGTCAATGTGATCATTATTACCGTCATCTTATCATTATTTTATTATAATTATTATTATTATTATTATTATTATTATTATTATTATTATTATTATTATTATTAATAATAATATAGATGTAATCTATATTGTTTATATTAATAATAGTAATAATAATAATAATAATAATAATAATATAAAATTGTTTTATTAAGATAATAGATCCAAAATATTTTTCTTTCCATCTAAATGAATCCACATAATCCATATAAATAAAATAATGAAAAATGAACAATATTAAATGAAAATAATTTAAAAAAAGGAATGAAGAAAGAGAAAACATTTTGAAAAATTTAATACATGGTGGATCAAAATCTTTTAAATTATTTTAAAAATCAATTAGTTTTTGTCTAAACTTTTTATATTGATTCTTTTTTTATTCAATCGTTCTATAAATTTGTTTTTACAAATATTTAGATTTTTCTTTATATATATGAGCCGTTCATAAGCTAAATTGATTAATTCTACTTCTTGAATTTTTTTAAATTTAAGTGTCAAAGCACTTGATGGAGTCCTCACTTTTTATGTTCATAATAAATTTCCCTAATTTCCGTTATTTATTATCAATTAAATGAGAAAATCTTTTTGGTTGTCGAATAAAAAATAATTTATTTCAGTAATAAGGATTATTCTAAGACTATTCTATCTTATATGTCGTTATATGAAAGTTACGTCTGCATTTATACATTCTACAATGTTTACTAGAATTTTTATTTTAAAGGGAATTTTAAAAAGCAATTTATATTATTTCATCACATTTCTCCGGTTTATATTTTATGGAGTTAATCGATTTGATAAGTGAGTGGCTCATATATATATATATATATATATATATATGAAATGATTAAACTATATATATATCCAGTTTAATCATTTCATGATTTAAGAAGTTTTGAAAAAGATTAATTTGTTTTTTTAAAATCACTTAAGAACTTTTGATCCATCCTGTATATAAAATAATAAAAAAACAAAAAACATGTTAAAAATTATATTACAATATAATATATAAGAAAAAAGATTTTTGTTTTTTTCGATAAAAAATTCTAATTTCTAATTCTTGGTTTCATATTCTATTCTTATGAAGTCGTAATATTATACACATATGAAAAGAGGAAACGATCACTAATCTATACCGGAAGATCACGTTGTGTCGTTAATGTCGATTAGGTAGCCCACGTGTTCAGATATCAGTAGGCGTCAGTAAAGTCCGTCGTCGTTGTCTATATTGGTTGCGAGTCATTCAGAAAACTTCCTTCATGGTATACGTGTTAGCGAAAGTCACTAGAAAGAGATAGTGAGAGAGAGAAAGAGAGAAAGAGAGAGAGAGAGAGAGAAAGAGAAAGAAAGAGAGAGACAGAGAGAAACGTGAATCATACCGAGTATCCACGCGAGTCAATTGCAATCGACGATTGCGTGAATCGAATTTGAAGGAGAAGTTAACTGTCTGATATTCGATGATGATGTTCAATAAATATTATCAGACTTACGTGGTTATATTTAACATATATGTATAATTTAAAAGTGTATATAAATATAAATATACTTTAGAATTTATATAAAAAAAATATTATGGCGGTGAAGAATTATCGATAAAATTTTATTGAAGAAGTAAAATTATTAGTCATGAAGAGGAAGGGATATAAATAGAAATAGATAGATAATTATAATAATGATAAGTAGAGATAAATATTGATAATTTGTAGAATTAAAAAAAAATTTGACTTCAATTATATTTGCAAAAATGTTATAATATCATTAATAAATTTAATATATATACCAATTTAGTTTTTCATTAAATTTTACATACGAAAAATTTATAGGTATGTAATTTTCTTTTTACTTATATTATTTAAATTTTTCTTATATATATCATTTAAATATTTAAATAATTGTTGTAATAAATTAAAAATAAAATTTATGCAATATATATATAAATTAAATAATCTTTGTAAACAGAAAATTTGTTTGTTTATGAATATATAATACTTTTTGTTTATCTAAGTATAATAATATTTTTTATAATAATTTGTCTATCTACTTCGTATTATTTTGCAATCAGTATAATATTTTTGTCTAACAAATTTCTACTAAAATATCATCATACATTTCAGAATTAAAGAATCTTTTTTTTACAAGTATCAATATAATCACATCGATTTATATCACGAGATTTTCGATCAGTGATTGTCAAGTATTTTATAAGAAAATTCTGATCTTTCTTTACATGGTTAGAATTAAAGTATTTTCGAAAAGTGAATTCGAAAATTAAAAGACGAAAGAAAGTACCATGAATACGAAACGTGGTTAAGAATATAAAATAGGAGAGAATTACCTAATACGATTAGAATATTCCGACCTTAGAATCAACCATACTCCCGCACATAGACATAGAACGTAAATCAGCGCTACTAAATAATCCTGAAGTTGGTTTTTATTCGAAAGTTGAGAAACCAAAAGTCGAAGATATTCCACTTTTGTTTCTCTCTTTTTCTTTTTATATTTCAAAACATATAGCAACAAAATAGCATAACTTTCCTAATTCATTCTCGTCATTCTCACTATTCTAAAAATAGAATTACATGCAGATAAATACGCATTATTATTGCGAACTTTCTTTAGAATTTATTATTAGCTCATTTGAAATAAATTATTTGACGATTATCGCATATACTTTGATAATTGCATTTATAAAAGTTTTAATAGATAAATTAGAAATTCATGTTTATTCATTTTTACTTGAACGAATGTTCAATCTATAAAATACAGTAAATAATTAAAGAAAAGAAAGAAAAAACATTAAAAAAAATTTTTTAATTTAATTTCATAAGAGTTTCTCTCATATTAACACATTATATTTGGAACAAATTGTTCCCATTATTCCAATTATAAACTCTAATCACCGTGTATAATCGTACTTATGAGCGAAAGTGCGTTCCACGATCTCCAAACCGTTATTATGTCGATCTCACTGTAAATTATCTCACGTATGTATGTATCTACTTTCGCTTAATACGAAGATTTAATAGTTATCGTTCGAAACACCTAGAAAACTGTCCTAAAGAGAATAAAAGAAATTTTGAAATTCTCTTATTAAAAAAAAAAATGAAAGAAAAAAAAGAAAAAGAAAGAAAAAAACATGCTTCAACTCTCTTTGTGGCAAAGTTTCACTATTGCATAATAATCTGTGTCGAATCTGTTAATTTAATGGATTATTCAGAAAATGTCAAGCAACTCGTTAAAAATCAGCAATTTATTTATTATCCGA